TATCCGGTATTACCGGTAATACCGGCCGGTACGAACCAATATTTAAAACATGGAAACAAACTATTTAGCACAATAGACGTGTTGGGTAGTCGTCTGACTCGTCTCGTCGGTCCCGAGCTGGCCCCCATTCGTCCCGAACAACCGCGGCAGGTCCCAGACAGCACCTGGTCCATCTCGGATATCACATGATTTGTCCTGAACAGCACCCGGTCGCTCCCAAACTCGTCCCGATAACTCCCCTTCAAGCAAAAACAGAAAAATACCAATAAACAGTCAAATTTCAACAACCAATTAATATAGATATATATATTGACATAGATAAAAAATAAATAAAAAATTAATAGGGACGAATACACCCTTCACTGAGTTCTCGTGCGAATGTTATGAATGCCACTAGGGTGGGTCAAAAGTGACCAAGCTCAGCTCCCTTTTGTATATCCATAAAAATGAGTCATCAAATAACCGATCAATTGGACCGCTGTCAATAATAACTCCGACACTGGAAGCCCAATGGCAAGTGGTAAGTGGTAACATCACTGGCCATAGCACAAAGCTCGGCCCGAAAGCAGCCCGTAGCAAAAACCCCTAAAACAAAGACTCGGTTGGCACACAGATAACATAAAATAAGCGAAGATAGGATCACTAGACACAAAGTCGAAAAGAAGAGTGAGAGCGAGAGCACAAGCAGAGAAAAAAACAACAAGTATGAGTCAGATATCCTAATGGTTGCAGTGTGGTATATCAAAACTCATAAGGCTACTCTACACAAAGACCACCTCAAAGGTATTTAAAGAGGGTAACGAACGGCGCAGATCAAACTACTTAAATACTAACGATCAAGATCATATTAGAATAAAACAACTTGCCTAATGGACTCATGCCAAAGAATATTGGGCCTATAAATTGATATATTATAATATTCACTTGTGAGTTATCCCATTACGTTTATATATGAAAAAAATGTCTAATTTATAACTCTAATAGACTGCTCCACCTTCCACCAATTAGTTTTGGGATGAAACCTCACTTGAGTTTTCCCTTCTTATGGTGCGCTAATGTGTGTGAGATTGCACCTGTTTTTCCCGAATTTCTTACATGGTATCAGAGCCGGTTCTATTGAGACCGTGTAATGATGTATCCATTTTCCCCATGTACCCGTTTATGAGAGTCTGCTTCTAGTAGGCTTGGGGCACCCAACTCCGTATATGGGCTTGACTTTCTTATTAAGGACTCACAAGTGAGGAGGCGTATTATAAAATTTTAACTTGTGAGTTGTCCCACATCTTTTATATATGGAAAAAAAATGTCTAACTTATAGGTCTTATGGGTTACCCCTACTTCCACCAATTGGTTTTGGGATGAAACCTCACTTAGGCTTTATATGAAATTTTCTTGCTCACGGTGCGCTTAATGTGCGTGACACCGCACGTGTCCGTTTCTTACATGATAAAATAATGACATTTAACTAGCTAGCTATTGAATATTCATTTGATTTTTTGAAAATTGTATTCTTGTGGGTATACAATTATATACAAGTATAATTGTATGAGAAATAGTTAGACTAATGAAACACATCATATCCACTAAATATACATCCTACATTTGCTAGTCAACTTTGCTATTCAAATCATGAAAGTGCAATATAAAGATGGTTGCATTCTCAAATTCCTAAATTTAAATACACCACTACTTTTTTTTTTTCTTTAGTTAAACATTGCACATTTTTTTCTCACCCATATTGACATCTTTTGACCTACTATTCTATTTAGCAAAAACAATGAAAAAATAATAAAAAAAATCCGAAAATTATCCACAAAACCCCCTCTGCACGCTTTTATTCCACTTTATTATCACCATAATTCAAAAAAAAAAAAAAAAAA